AAAGATGAAATACAAACAACAAATAATGACAAAAAAAAAAAAAAATGATATTAGTAATTTATCTTGGTCAGCAAGAACTAAAATGATGCCATTCAAGATAATAGTTTAATTATTTCACAAGTTCACCAGAATACATAGCATGATCGATATTCAAATTAGAGCAACACATTACAACCAATCAGAAGATCACTCATAGTGGGTATGTTCCTGATTGGACCAATGATTCCAAAGTAATTCATTCAAATGCGACCATCACTCTGAAATAAACAGAATAATATTTTTTTTCAGATTAAAATTATCACTGACCTCATGACTAACTGTCAATTCTATTTTCAATTGTTCTATGATGTATATTAGCGTGCTTTTCTTTACTCCACTTATAAAAGGATTGTAACAGGATGTATAGCATTGTGCAACTTTCTTTTATATTATCATTCAGGTTTATGAAAAATTTCTTAGAAGTTCATCGCTGGATGTAATGTTAGATTTCCAAGATGGTGGATTTTGGAGGCATTGTACTGTACGAACCAACCTTAAAGGTGATGTCATGGTTGTTGTCAAAATACATCCACAGAATTTATCAAAGGTGGGTTTTTATCACCAGACTTTTTCCATCTTTGAATCTTTATCAAATATATTGTGATTTTATTCTAGAAATTAGTTCTCAGTACATGTTGGCTGGCTTGATTTTAAAAAATTCCAAGCTCTATAGTGTGTATGGAAAAGCAAACTTGTTTAGTGACAGAAAATGTCCAACAAAAGAGTTATATATCCAACATTCTTAAATGATTAAAACATGTACATTTCAATCAGTTTAGCACAGATCTATCACCATCAAACTCACATGACATGCGTATATTTGTACATCTTTTGAACACATGTTGTCATGAAATTACCACCTTCTGGAATAACTACATTTTGTACATGGAAAACCATCTATTGAAACAGGTTAATTATTGTATACAAAGATGAAAATAAAAAATAAAAACTCATCTTAAGTTTTTTAATAGTCATAGTAGGTGATGTAACTCAGGGCAGAGCAAAATTCCATATGACCTTTTTATAGTGTGACATCACATACTGCCAAACTGAAGGAGCTTCCAGGTTTATATACGGCATGATAACTACAAGTTGTAGTAATAATGTTTCATTTTGGCAAGCTCAAAAAATTTAAATAGCAAAAAAATCATGACAAAATTGGAGCAAATTTTAATGAGTTGAATCGCATGCGGCTCAGATTTATAAGAAAACTCAAGTAATCACTTGTGTCTGCTAACGTAACCTATAAAAAAAATCATGGCATTATATAGATTTGTTCAAATACAAGTGGAGTTGATTTTCACCAGTGGATGCTCAGTAAGAGTGAACAAAGTGATAATGTCTAATATTTTTACACTGTATAAACTGAATTGGACTCTTCTATATTCCCAGTGTTATCTCTTATTGTAGGATGAACTAAGGAAGCATAAAGATGAACTGAAAAACCATTTCCTTCACAGTCTTAAAAATGATATCACATCATTGTATATTCAGGAAAGGTACATGTATACTTTATTTCAGAATTGACTCTATTTTCTTGACTAGTCTGCAAATTTTTTATATTTTGCATGTCTGTTTTGTACAGTTTGGTTTAATCTTTTCTCCAACGGACTTTCTTGCCAAAATTTATCTGTGCTTTTTAATTATATTCTTCATAATTCTGGAATCGAACCCTTGTTTTTGAGCCAACAGAGAAAATTTGAGTCATTTTCCTGTTTTTACTCACAAAATTTGGCTTGTGTTGTCCCAATCTTTAGAAGTACAGTTCAGACTATAAACAGAACTATGAATTTGTGATGAAAAGGGAGAACTGGTGGTGAAAAGGTTAGAATGAGTACATTTATATATATTTGAGTTCCACTGGCATCTATTATATTTTTGAAACACTAGACTGTACCTAAACACATTGAGTAAAAATTTGTGGAAACATTTTTTAGTTTCGCTCACAATGCGAAAAAGCTTGAAATCTATGCACCAAGAAAACAAGAAAAATTGTGGCCTTGTTTTGCGTGAAAATTAAATCGCCCTATCGACGCTACCTCCTACATGAAAATAAATGAAAAACCCATTTATTTAAGGGTGAAAAAGTTTACTTATCAGTTACAAGTGTATGTTTGCATGCTGGAAGCGTCTACGTCTTGTCTGTTTTTTGTAGTTTGCTAGTTGATCGCGCTTGAGGTAAGTAAACAGAGAGCCAGGACAGAAAGTCGCACACCGGCTGCTCCGTAACTGGGGCCAGCAATCATTTGCATATAACATCAACAGTGACTTGTCAATCAAAGAGCAACGCAAACAAACTTTCGGGACTTTTAATCACATACGCGTGCCTCGGTTTCCTATATTTAAAAATTGATTTTTGAGTATGTTCCAACAATGACAATGCTCCGACTATCTAGTGAGAAAAAGCAAAAAAAAAAAAATTCACGAAAAATGCCCACGAACCTGCATCTCTACCTTAAAGAACAATCTTAACATGCTGAACAATTTGCAAATCAATAAAAAATGCTGTAAAATACTTTATTTTCACTTGGAATTTATTTTTGCTGAAGGGATGATTGAGTAAAAATAAAATCCAGCGAATATACCTTTTTTCCTATATTCCACATTCAACTCATCAAAAATCAGAGAAAATAAATTATATACATAACACTAAAACAGCCTTTTCAGCGAAAATTAATTCCAGCCAAAATAAAGTATTTTTCAGTAATTTTCGTTAGAAATTCACATCTATGAGAACTTACATTACATGTAATTTAGTTTAGTTTATAAACATATTTATTTAATATTTGTAAATACCAATCATCAGCTTTTATTAAAATTAAAATATTTAATAATGATTGGCTCAACAGCTCCACCTTGTTTATGCTCATAATGCATGCACAAGCAAGTGACATTGCATCTGTCACCTCCCATTTATTCAAAAGGAAGGTTTTGCTGATACCAATTAATATTAATTAGAACTCTTGATGAGTTCACCATATGTTTTCTGGATTGGTCATTTTGAATTCTACCAGTCATTTTGATTTATAAAATTTATATATTTTTATTTTTTGAATAGCATTCATATGAGAGAAACTCATGAATCATGTCCATATGAATTACTCTACGGGGAACCATACATATATGAGAAGATACTAAACAAGTTCAAGTTCAGGATTTCACCGGATTCATTCTTCCAGACCAATACACTCGCAGCTAATGTTTTATATAAGACTATAAAAGACTTGTGTCAAGTCACAAATGACACTACATTAGTTGACATATGCTGTGGTACTGGCACTATTGGGATTGTAATGGCGGAGTCTGTCAAGAAAGTTATTGGTATTGAATTGATCAGCCAGGCAGTAGACGATGCTAAACTCAATGCAAAACTCAATAGTAAGTATGTACTGCCCTCTAGAGGTCAAATATAATAAACTGAAGTCGAAGATACGGCGTTCCGCATATACGCGCATACCGTTTAGTGGTCTAACGTAAACTTGTACACGTGATATTGTGCTTCTGGGCGTACCTATCAACGTCAAAAAAAAAATTTACCCTCAATCGACTATCAGCAAACTGACGTGTTTGTATTTTCCCCCATGACAAAGCAGACGTATTTCTGCACCCCCAGTCTGGCTACTTTCGAGAAATTTGTCTATCCTCGGGGGCGAACATCCGGGCATTTTCATCGCCTGGCAACCCTCGCGGTGAAAACAAAGGCCCAAAACTCGCAGAAAACGGTACTTTAGAATGATTGCATGTTGAGACTTCTCTGAACAGTGTAACACGATTAGCCCTACGTGTGTAACATAAATAAATTTGGTTGTTCAGGATTACTTCAAAGTTGAGTTTGTGTTTCATCGGCTCGGCTGGCGTTTCACAGCAGCGCGCACAGAGCCCATAGAAATGCATGTACGATGGTGCGCATCGTAGCAACGTGGAATGTTTTGTGACGTAGCTCTGCCCCCGAGGATTCCAATCATTATATGCAAGATTTACTGCCCTCTAGTGGTGGAATATGCTAAATTCATTGCATAGCCAAAAATGCAATACAGAGTGTTTATTGTATTTTTGCAATTTACGGGAGATTCATTGAAATGTACATACTGTACAAACATGGGAACAATCTGCGAATGGAAGTAAAAATGAAATTATGTAATGTGTTATACAATTGTATTGATATAATCATAGTGAATAACTGGTATCTTGACAACCCATACCTATATCACAAGGGATATCTTGGAATTCATGATACATGTATAATCGTATACTTTACCGAGTTGACACTTA